CTCTTTATGTGGATGATTACCATATCCAACGACACAAGCACCCCTTTCTTTTTAGACTGTAATATTCAAAGAACAAGTACAACAAAATTTATATTTTAGGTGAGGCACCTACATGGATGATCACCACTCTCACTTTCTCAAGAACCTCCGCTCCTTCCTTCATGCCCGACGCCAGCCGTCATGATTTCAAATTGTGGTGATCATCCATGAAGGAGCGGAGCCCGATTCATTTTAAACCATATAGGTGAGACACTTTAGGTTCGTCTCTTAGAGACATTAAGGATAATTACTTACATCAGTCAACAAGCTATCATCAATTTAAAATTGACCTAATTCTTATAGACCCTCAGTGTATACTATACATTGCACATCCATTCATGCTAACACCGATTGTTTATAAAGATAAGTCAAATCAGACTTGTTAATTAAAGAGTAAATTCTATAATTAGTTCTTTATAGTAGAAGAGTTTCCCTATTTAGTTTTCTATTATAAAAAATCACCCTAGTGGTCAATCTTTTAAATGTATCCATCCATAAATAGTCCTTTTTTAATCTTATATTATGTTGGTGTTAATTTAAGAGCTAAAAGTTTATTTACAATGATAATGTATCTTTCTTTTCATACACAATCCTAAAGGCTGCTCCTGATGCATCGTTTGTGAATTACAATCACTTTCTACTACCAGCATAATCTAAAGATATGGTCTTTCGTCGGAATCCTAGCTCAAAATCATTGTCATTATTTTGTGTTATTCGTTTAACTAATATCAAAATACGTTACTAGACATAAGGTTGATGTCAAATTATAATTTTAGTCTTTAAATTAACACTAACATGACAGAAGATTAAAAAAACCTTTGTGGAAAGACACGCAATTATAGAATTTACTCTTAATTAAATGGAATTCCCCATCAAGATGCCCTTTCCTTCTCTTATAAAAGGAGGCTAATGCTTCATTAAGGGGTAGCCAATTCCTATAACTACACAATTCTCTCTCTCTCTCTCTCTCTCTCTTCATATTATAGTTTTCTTCCTTGCAAAGAGTTTAAGATCCCCATTGATGGCTTCTTAGCGAAGATGTACAATCTCTAATATTAATAGAACTCCCTCGTTGGTAAGATACCACAAAAAAGGCATGTACTATCCTATAGAACAGATCTTGTTCAAGTAAGGTCGTACCAAAAAAGGCATGTAGTTTCTTCCAATTCGGACATTTTGCATAAAAAAATAGTTTGTTTGTATTTTTGGTGATCTGTTAGGCTGAGTTATCATTGTTAAACAATAATAATAAATAATAATTGATCAAAACAAATTCTACCATCAATACTGTCGTAGGCATTTAAAACTAACAAACACCGTTTGATCAATTTTAAGCTAATAGGTGAAAAACTTTTTTGAAGAAAAAGTAATGTTAGAAGCTTATTCACTAGGACCATGCTAGGGTGCCATCACATGGGTGCTACCATGGGTGCACCCATGTTTCGCACAAACAAACACAGATGATAATTGTCTGTGCGACACAGACAATTATTGTCTGTGTTTGTCTGTGCGAAGCATGGGTGCACCCGTGGTAGCACCCGCACCCTAGCATTTTCCTATTCACTAATGTGGGAAAAAGACAAAATTACTCCATTTTTATAACACATTACATATATCCTTAGATAGACGAAACATCTAAATGTACATGTTTGTCGATGCATGTATAAAGCATATCAATATTCTCTTAAATTAAGATCGAGTAAAAATGATAACAAGTTGATATTTTAAAAGTTCATATTGAGATGAATCAAAGAAAACCATACATAAGCGCCAATACTCGTTTTAGAGTAATTAAATAATTATTTCACATATTTATTTATTTTTGTATTAATTTAAAATATATGTACATTATAAAATATATGTATACATTATATCATTAGGTCTATACATAATATATATTTAGGAAAAAACACAATACTAATTTTATGTATTTACGTATACATATTTGCTATGCATATGTAGAATGAGTAGTCTATTACTCGTCCAATTCAGATTTATAAAAAATATTCTACACCCGATTGTACGATATATATTACGAGTTGGGGTGAACACAAGACAGAGCAGTACGTGTTTGTAGTTGTCTCGGTCCCAATCCCCTTTTAGAAACGGGTTGGAATGGTACGAGACAGGAATTATCTTTGTTCATTTCATTTTGGAACTAGGACAATTCAAAACGATTCCGAATGTCATAATTTAAATTTTTATACTCCGTAAAATATAAAGCTAAACATTTGTAATATGTTAATTTTAAAAACTAAATTTAAAAATTTTGTACAAAACATTTTTAAAAAGTCTCAAATAGATGTACGATAAAAATATATACAAACATTAAAAAGTACAATAACATTTTAGTTTGCAAATGCTATTAAATTGGTTAAAAAAGTAATGTGAATGAATATTTGGGGTTAAACCTAAATACACGGGACAATGTGAGAGAACATGGTACGTTTTATTTGTCCTTGTTTCATTCCATTTTAAATCGGTTAAAGACAAAATTTTGTCATCCTAAACGAAATTAGATATTACAATGACGAGATTGAGAAATTTCACGGGGCAACAAGATTCAGACTATTGCCCACCCCTAATTATAGAAGGAGCTGAGGTATACGTCTAACTTTAAATCAAACTTTACTTTCATCCTCTATAAACATTAAATAATATTTAAGAGTGCATAGATATTTAACAGTGCATAGATAAAATTGAGTTAAAACGGATAAGAGCATCACTGCTCATTCTCTTTGTGTTTCTCGTCATATTATCCATTTTTAAGTCACATCATTCTCTTTTTATTTTCACCACCCGACTCTAATTCCTTCTTTCTTTTTTACCTTCATTTCAGTATATTTGTTTTATTTTCAAGTAATCAATTCAAATTTAATGTATCATTTTACATCCAATCAATTTTTTCTCCCGAAACATTTTATTACCGTTCCAAGTTCCAACGACACCCTCTTTATTTTCCCCATCCATTCTAACCATTCTTCCTTGTCACATAAACTACTCCCCTATACACTTTTCAATTGGTGACACTCTAAGACCGTCCATAATGCTCTCCCCCAAGCGTGATCCGCATGCCACGCCCTCCCCCCCTCACGCCAACACCACCCCCCTCCCCCTGTGGCCACTGCCGCTGGTAAGTCGGTTTTGGTTTAGTTCTTTTTATTCTTTTTTAGGTATTTTTAATACTTTTAGTGTTTAATTTTTAGTTGTTTTGCTTTATTTTATTTTAATTGTTATTTTTACAATCTTTTAATTTTCTTTCAAAAATAATAGTTTTTTAATCATTTTCTTACATCTTATTATTTTTATTTTATTTTTCCTAACCCAAATTTTCAAATATCTTATTTTCTGGAAAAAAATATAGCGAATTCGAGATAGCAACCTAATATATAATTCAATCAATTTAACGCCGCACTTGAGAGCAACCATGGTCGCGAACACAGTCATCCGACCGTTTCAATTTTTTTTCCTTCCTTTTTACAATGGTCCACTTGACCCAAAATTCTTTTTTTCCTTTCCTTCTATGTAGAGGTCCATTAGACCCAAATTTCATTTTTTTCATTCTTTCATTTTTAAACAAGCAAATTCTAACCAATTTCAAATATAATCACTTCTTCATAATCTCAATTTTTATTATACGGAGTATTTTTTATATAAATTTTATGTTCTACTCACACCATGAATTCAAACAATCTCAATTATCTGTATTTTTACAATCCCAATAATCGACATTTCTTCAATCAAAACGATCCAAACGCAAGGAATATGTCCGATAACTGTTATCGTCCGACTTCCGGTGGATTTGAGTATTAGACTCCATCCCGAACTTCTTCTCGGAAGGCTCTCAAGGTTTAGCATTTCCGAACTTCTCGGAGACTCAACCTTATTGCATGATGGAGACGCAACCTCCGCATGACCAAGATACTCATCCTGAGGCAGAGTCGTGAAAGAAGAAAAAAGGTTCAAAGAAAAAATGCTCCACTTCTAAACCCGTAGAGACGGTGCCAACGAAAAGAACAAGTTTTATTTAGTCGAATGCGGAGAAGAGTGCGTTGGTAGCTAGTTGGATCGATGTGTCGGAGGATCCAATTCAATGTTAATAAACTTTATTTTTTTTGGTACAAGGAGAAAGACGTTTCGGGTTTCAAGGACAACGGAGATTATAAGGAAGAGTTGTAGTCCTTATCCTCTCTAATGACCGATCTTTTGGAGGTGAAAAAGACTTCAATCGAAATAAAAAGGAATCGTCAAATGGGGATTGACATGGTCTTCCTAGGCACAAAGTATAATGGTACGAACGAACGTGGTCTTGCATTGATCGAGATGATGAAAGACAAATTATGAAAAGAATATGTGACCAAACATGATCGTGATCAAACCTAGATTTTTTATATTTCTTATATTTTTCTTCACGTATTTTTTCTTAATTTATGTAATGCATAAGTGTACTTTTCCTTTATTTCAACATGGCATAATTGTCTTCTTTTGTGCAATAAAAAATTATGAAAATAAATAAGAACGAAAAAAATTAATATTATTATTTTAATAGTGAACCAAATTTAATTATGAAAAAATTCATAAAATCAAATACAAAAAAAAATAATTATGAAAATAAATAAGAACGAAAAATTACTAATATTATTTTATAAAAGTTACAATTTAATTTGAATAAAAATAGGTAACTATTCATAAAAAATAAAAATATAAGTGGTAGTGAAATATTATATATACAAAGTAAGTTACATGATGAATACAATCAATAATGATGTAACATTGAGTTACACTTGTTGTCTTTTGTTGATTTGGAATGGGTGATAGTGATGCATTACACATAGCCTAACAATCCAATAAAATCCACATCAAATGAAAATTTGGAGTAAATGTTTTGGGGGTAGATCTTGGGTTAATAAAAAAGCACTACTAGATTTACTATCCCTTATTTATTTTTTCCTAAATTAAATAATCACACACACACTCTCTCTCTCTGCCTTCTGCGGTCGTGCAATTGCGTCTGTCGGCCTCGGCTGTGGCTGCTGGGTGGGTTTTCTAGGGTTAAGCGACACGATTGAATAGGGCTCAGGCTCCATTCCATTCTCCCCCGACTCTCCCTCAAAAGCCCCCCCCTCTCTCTCTCTCGACGCGACGGAAAAAATAGGCGCCAATTATTCTGCCCCGACGAGGAGCAGTTCTTTCTCTTTCTAGGGTTTCGTTGTTGATGGTCTGAGGAGCTGGTTTTTGATTGGTTTGTTTGGGTCGGAGATCTTGAAGAGATGGAAGCGTCGACGGAGCTAGAGGAGCAATTGAGGGAAGCTGGAAACAAGCTTCTTAAGCCTCCTCCGGCGGTCGAGGAACTGCTCCCTTTACTCGATGTAAGTCGTAGGGTTTGTTTTTTTTTTTTACAATTTCATTTTCTTTTCTTGGTGGCCTGCATGTACTTCTTTTTTCACTCTCTGGAGATCCCCGGGAGTGAATCGATTTCTTTGATTTTCCCTTTTTTTCCCAACTTAGCTTTATTCTTGAATCAATCCTTCTTCTTTTTCCCAATCGTTCTAGTGCTCTGGCTACTACTCTGTGGTGCCTAGTCAGGCTATCCAACTTTCTTGGTGTCAGTTTTTATGGGGGCTAATATT